TCTTCTATTATGAGCTCCAGAGTTTTGTTTTCTAATCCTTGCTCGGTTTTTGTCATCTCCCGTCATAGTGTATTGTAGTCTGTAAATATAATTATATAACATATATGAAATCACAATAAACTAAACTTAGCAATATCAATGAAGGACAGACCCGGCTCTTATCTTCCCAATTTCCCAATTAGCAATATCATTATTATTAAAACAAACATTATTTCATTGCAAAACAAACATTATATCAATCAAGGACAGAGTCTTGATAGAGGTGGAGATGACTGCTCAATTACCTAGTTATATTAAAATTCAAGGTCTAACTGGTAGCATATATTCTCAACGTGTTCTTCATGAATTTAAACCTCAATGTTGTGCACATTTAAATTGATTGGACATGATACCGAGCTTTGTAGAAAGCATAAACCAAATATGCAATGAAGATCAAAGCTCAATTGCAAAATCATTATTATTAAAACAAACCCCAATTTCATTATTATTAAAACAATATCATTATTATTAAAACAAACATTATTTCATTGCAAAATCATTATTATTAAAACAAACCCCAATTTCATTATTATTAAAGCAATATCATTATTATTAAAACAAACAATATCATTCCAAAATATCATAACCCCTAATTTAATTCTTCAACTAAGATTCAACCAAGATTACCCCTAATTTAATTCTTCAACAACTAAGATTCAACCAAGATTCAAAATCAAAATCTTAATTTCATTGCAAAACATAAAAACCCCAAATTTCTATCCAAAAAAAAAACCCTAAAATTATTTAGTTAAAAATTTTTACCTGATGGAGTGAAGCTTGACTGCTTGAAGGACGGGTCGACGGACTCGGAGGCTCGCCGGCTCGGTAGGGAGGAGCGAAGCCGCCGGCGGCGGCTCGGGAAGGGGGACTGGACGAGGAGAGGAGGGTTTCTTTTTTTTTTTCTTCTTTTTTGTGAACGGGAGTCGGGAGGTCAGAGACTTGGAGTTGGAATCGCTGAAATAAAAGGTGGGGTCGAGTTCTTTTACAAACATAACCTCTAACATTTTTTGCATAAAGGCCCTTGTACAAAGTCTATTTTAAAAATCAAAGAAAATTACAGTTTGAGGGGTATAGGAACGTTCGGAATGGGTTGCCCCCCGGCCCTGGGTTGCCCCAGCCCCGGGGCTTGGTGGGCTTACCCCAGGGCCGGCCCTGATTGTGGAAGCGAGAAAATAATCACTATGTCCACACTAATAAGCAAATCAGTCTATATTAACTTTTCAAAGTCGTATATTGAAGATAAATCCAAACAAAAACAGAAACACAATGACAACCTAGCAGAAAATAATGCCATCACATGCAGAAGCAAGAATATATAATCTTGGATTTTTTTTGTCAAAACCGCTTTCCAAAATGAGTTTTCAAACTATATATATATTAACTACTAGTATTTTTCATAAATACTTAGTAGTCTAGTGGAAAGTTAAAGTTTTAGTGTTTCAAAAGGTCATCTGTTCGAGGCTTACTAACGGCAAGCCGAGAAGTGTTTTGCTTTAATTAATCCCTCATAAGTGGGTCATGGGCCATGGGTCGTGGGTTGTGGGCTCGTGGGCTGTGGTCCGTGGGCCAATGGGCCAGGGATCGGAGCTAATCGGGCTAAGACGCTACGTGACGCTTTGTTAGGCGCACTTTGCACTTCGCACGGAGGCATCGGGGCTAGGTGGCGCTATGTGTTCTGTTTTAATTAACGCATCCATTGATTGTCTCGCCTTCAGGCGTTACTGCATGCAGTAGTTACAACAGTATTTAAATCAATTAATGTTATAATCATAATTGTCATTATGATTTGTAACAGTCATACTAATTGTAGGTGACTCTTGAGTGGGCCTTAGAGGCCTATAAATAGCGCCCCTTGTGGCAGCTCTTAGACACACGAACGTGAGAGCTCTTGTACACATGAAATATATTGAGATGTTGTGCTGCTGCTACATAAACTGTGCCCGAAGGAACTTTCCCTGGAACCGAAAAGTTTTGACCCAAAAGGTTCTTAGATCGAGGAGATCTTTGCCTTGATTGAAAGGTCTTATAGATCGAGGAGATCTTGGCAGTACTGGGTTGGTGCATACCAGAGTATTGTATTGCTGTTCCTGGAAGCAATTTGGTCTTGGGCTCCTTGCATCGGAATAGACCAAATATTGCTTTAAGCACAGCATTTCACAAATGCACAGCAGTTAATTTTAAAAAGTTTAAAATTACAACACATCAACTTTTGCTGTTTCATTCTAGATTTAACCACAATCTCCAATAATCTTAAAGTAATATTTCTAATCTATCATGGATCCCGCGAGGACTCTTGGAGTGGACTGTCTCAAGTTAGAGAACTTTGACGGATCCAACTTTAACGCATGACTACGAAAAGTGATCTTTGGGATGCAACTCCTAAAAATCTACTATGTGGTTTCTGAGGAGAAACCCGACTTTGAAGAAGATTCTGAGTTTGAAGCCTCTTGGGCTAAAGATGATCATTTCTGTAGGAGTTATTCCCTTAACTGCCTAGTCGATCATCTGGCAGATGCTTACACCAACAAGCCCTCTATAAAGAAAATCCGGAATGCTCTGGAGGACTAATACAAGGATGAGACGAAACTGTCCAACTCTCACCTTATTGACAAATTTCTGGACTTCAAATTAGAAGATGACACTGAGGTTTGCATCAAGTCAAAGAGCTTAAAAAGCTTGTTATGAAGTTGAAGGATGAAAAGATCAATCTTTGTCAAACATTTATTTCTGGTATAATTGTCAACAAGCTTCCTCTATATTGGATGTCATTCTCCACAGATATTCAAAAAAGGAAAAGATAGGCGACTCTATCTGACTTGAAGAGGTTCATTCGGATCGAGGAAGAGATTCGGACTCGCACGAAGAATGAGCTCCTTGCTAAGCATAAGACGTCTACTAATATGATGGCTGCTAACTCTGAGAATGGTACTAGTTCTTCTTTCAAAAAGAAGAAGAAATTTTTTAACAAAAAGAAGAACCATCCAAAGAATCTAAATGTTCAAAAGAAAGATTTTAAGAAGAGCGGCAAATGCTTTAACTATAGGAAGCAAGGACATTTTGCTAAGGACTACAAAGCATCAAAGAAGGAAACAACACACAATGTTAATCAAGTTGACAATTGTGTGGCTATGCTCTTCCAAGTGACAACTCCCAACAACTCTCTGATTGATGGCTAGATACAAGTGCTACATGTTATGTCTACTCCAACAGAAATTTGTTCTCTTTTTATGTTGCTGCCAAAGAGAACGTATCAATGGCGGATTATTTTGTGGTTTTTATTCTTAGAACTGGGACTGTGGTGCTAACTGTTTCTTCGGGGAAAACTCTCACATTGAAGGATGTGAAACATATTCCCTCAATTGCCAAAAACTTAGTCTCTGAAAGCCTGCTGTGTGACGCAGGTATGAGACTGGATTTCCAAGGAGGAAAGGTTGTGCTATCTTTTAAGAAAATATATTTTAGCAATACATATCGTACTGATGGCATGTATAAGATCAGTATTATTGTACCCAACTCAGTTATAAATAAAGTATCATCTTCTGCTTACTCCTCTATATTATGACACAATAGGCTGGAACATGTAACTTATACAAAGTTGTCTAGTATGGAGAAATTAGGATTACTTCCAAAATATAGGGGGTAACAAATCTGGGAAGTGTGAAGTTTGCGTGCATGCGAAACTGATAAGGAAGCTCTTTCCAATTGTCACAAGGAGCACCAACCTATTGGATCTGATTCACTCAGAAACTTGTGATTTCAAGAGCTTCATCACTCGAGGTGGCATGAAGTACTTCATCACCTTCATTGATGATCAGTCTCGCTTTTGTCACGTTTACCTACTAAAATCTAAAGATGAAGCCTTTAACAAGTTGAGTTTCGGACTCATGTGGAGAAGTAGCTTGTACTTCAGGTGAAAAGACTCAGAAGCGACAGAGGAGGAGAGTACTGGTCTAAGGAGTCGGAAGCATACTTCAAGGAACATGGAATCATTACTAAAACTACAGCTCCGTATTCTCTGTAATCTAATAGGATTGCAGAAAGGAAGAATTGCACATTGGCCGAGATGGTGAATTCCATACTAATCACATCTAGTCTACCTACCTGCTATTGGAGAGAGGTTTTGTTGATGGTAAACTGGATTCTGAACAGAGTACCCTATTCCAAAACTGATAGTACTCCTTATTAGTTATGGTTGGGATATCTAGATCATTTGGATAGTCTCAAAGTCGCATATGTTCGAGTTCCAGATATCAGAAGGCTTAAGCTCAGACCAAAGGCAAACAAATATGTGTTTCTTGTCTTTGCTGAAGATAGCGATGCTTGCAGGTTCCTTGACCTTGGAACCAACTCTATCATTAAAGTTCGGGATGCAAAATTCTTTAAGAATAAGTTTATCAAAGATAAAGGTTTATTGCTCAAAGATATAGCAGAGAATGCTAGTACGTCAAATGCACCAGAGGAGCCAGTTTGCCAAGAAACTGAAAGTGTAAATGATGAAGGAGTTACTGAACCATCTTTCAAGCATTTCAGGAGACAAAAAGATTTTGGATATAATTTCATTATCTATAATGTGAAAGAATATCCACAGACTTTCCAAGAAGCAATGTGGTCAAAGACATTCTTCTATGGAAAGAATCTATAGATGATGAGATGGATTCATTGATCCAAAATCATACTTGGAGCTGGTGGATGTATCTGAAGGTGCAAGTTCTATCAGTTGCAAGTAGATCTTCAAGAAGAAGCTTTGTCTTGATGGTACTATTGAGAAATACAAAGCAAGACTGGTGATAAAAAGATTCTCTCAGAAAGAAGGAATAGATTTCTTTGATATCTATGCACTAGTTTGCAGAATCACTACTATCAGAGTGCTTATCGCATTGGCGGTGATTAAAAGTTTTGCCATACATCAAATGGATGTGAAGACTACCTTTCTCAATGGAGATCTCACAGAAGAGATCTACATGGAAAAACCAGAAGGGCTTGATGCTCCAGCTGGTAAAGTTTGTAAACTTATTAAGTCTCTATATGGACTTAAGCAAGCGCCAAAACTCTAACATGAGAAGTTCGATGAGGTTGTTCGCAACAATGGGTATCAAGTTAGTGAGTCTGACAAATGCCTATACATCAATGTTGCTGAAGGAAAGGTAGTGGTTATCTACCTCTATGTAGATGATATGCTCATCATCGGGAGTGATTTGAAGATAGTAATGTCTACCAAGAAATTTCTCCCAGGACAGTTCAGCATGAAGACCTTGAAACTACGGATGTGATTCTTGGAATCAAAATCATATACTTTGAAGAGGGTATTGGATTGTTTCAATCTCATTATGTCGAGAGCATGCTAAGAAAGTATGGCTACTATGACCTGCCAGAACTATCAGTGTCGTATTGTTACAACAAGAAGTTTCGACTGAACACTGGAAAACTAGTAGAGCAGCTAAGGTACTCAAAGATCATTGGGCGTCTTTGTAGGCTGTAAAAGTTGCCTTAACAGCAAAAGGCCTAAATTCCACCTACATACTTGACTCGCCTAGCCCACCCAATAGCTGGGTTCGCCAGTACAAGCGAAACTCGCCCGTGTACATGACTCGTCAGCACGAGTCAAGTCCATGCGGTCACCAAGGTCGCCTAAGCATCCAGGCAATCCGCCAAGCGACCAGAAACTCGCCTGCACATTAAACTCGCCTGCACGAGTCAAGTGTTCTCAAGAGCCGAAGTCGCCTACATATCCAGGCAATCAACCATATGATCGATAAGCGCCAGACTCACCAGAGTACTAGGAGGCTGCACTAGCACGTACGGGGATGGACCTTCCCATTCCCCACAATGTGAAGGGAAGGAGTACATCACTCTATGCCCATCAAGTGACCGCTCACAGTACAAGTGACCAGTCAGATCCACATAGTTGCCAAACTCGCCGGCATACTTAACTCGCCTGTAAGAGTTAGGTTCATTTCATCGCCAAGCTCGCCTGTGCATTTGATTAGCCTACCCGAGTCAAGTTCGTCCAAGTGGTTGAGAATCACCTGTACGACCAAACAATCAGCCAGGCGATCAGCAAGCTCGCCAAACTCGCCAGAGTACCAGGCGGCTGCACTGTCGCGTATAGAGATGGGCCTTCCCATTCTCCACGACGTGAAGGGAAGGAGCACAGTACTCTGAACCCATCAAATAGCCGCTCACAGTATAAGTGAGAGGCATGGTATCTCTCAACAGTACATGGTCACATTCCATGATTGAAGGGAGTGACCATGTCATCCCTTCTCTATTTAAAAGCTTCTCTCGGCCACGGGAAAGAGGTCGACAGCTGGCGATCTGTTGCTCAAGATTAATTGATTAATTCAATCAGTCAGCTGAACCATTAGCTCTCAACTCTTAACGGAGTTGACGACCTGCTCTTTGCATTATCTTTGCATTGTAGCACCTCCTTCTAGCTTCGAGCCTTGATCGCCATCGAACTCGGAGACTCGAACTTAACCAACACAAGCTTCTACTGCGTACTAAAGCTCCCTTGCAACCTCATTCGAATCGTCCAAGGGAAGCAAACTCGGTGCGAGAACCGAGCGAGGCATCCTATCGCTACCAAAGTCTCCACGTTAAACAAGGAGGACATTCCCTCCGCTTCTGTTATAATTTTGATTTATTAGTTTGTAATAAGCTATTCTTATCAATACAAACAAGATCCTCATTTCGGGAAATCAATTTTTACCCCTACAGTCTTATGTATGCGATGAGCTGCACGAGACCAGACATAGCATTTGCTGTAGGAATACTTAGTAGGTTCACAAGTAATCCTGGAAAGCTTTATTAGGATGCTGTCCAAAAATTGATGAGATACTTGAAAGGAACTATAGGTCTGGGCTTATTCTACATTAGATATTCGGTTGTAATCGAAGGTTATTCAGATACGAGCTGGTGCTCAGAACCAGATGAGTGCAGGTCTAATGGAGGTTTTGTTTTCACCATGGGTGGAGCTGCCATCTCGTGGAAGTTTAAGAAGCAGACTATGATTGCATAGTCATCAATGGAATCTGAGTTCTTCGCACTCTGTGTTGTAGGAGATGAAGCTGAATGGTTCATTTGTTTTTCCGAGACCTTCCATTGATAGAATTGTAAGGCACAATTATTATCTATTGTGATAATCAGGTGGCAAGTGCTGTGGTAGTGAAGTCGATATTCAATGGAAAGAAGCGGACCATTCGTCTAAAGCATGGCTATTTGAGAGTACTCATTTGTCAAGGAGTCATCTCTGTGATAGACGTCCGGTCTTCAGAGAATGTGGCTGATCCTTTGACTAAAGGTCTGAAAAGAGACATAGTCGAAAGGACGTCTGCTGGAATGGGTCTCAAAGTGTAGAGGATAAACGAGAAATCATATCATATATATATGTGTGTTCTACTAAGGATTACAAGGACGTAGTTTCCTCTCGAGTAATATATATATTCTCATATCATGTAGTAGATTTAAATGAGCAAATAAAATTGATATCTCCTCGTAAACTACAAGTGCATGAAACAGACGTCCTAATCCTGTGCGTAGAGCTCAACGACGGTGTCCCTAACATCCCCAAGTTCCCAGTAAATAAAGGTTCTGAGGTGTTCAACGGAAAGGTTATCCACTCCATGGAGCACTCGGACAAGGGCAGCTCCCGTGCACTTGAGCTAATCAGAAGAAAGCGCGTTAACGTGGTTAAGTCTGCTATAGATATTGCAGCAGAACGTGGGAATGTAAATGGTAAATAGAGATTAGACTTGGGGAAAATTGCATATGCATAATCAGAATGTAGTAGGTAAGTCACTTATCATCCCTCGACCTTTTTTTTCAGTGCTTAGATTTTTCGACGCCCGAAATGGTGTTGCCATCACTTGTATGTCATATGGCAGCTATGCAGTTGCGGCGGGAATTCCTATTACTTCATCCTGCTGTAGAGAGATTTCCTATTCTCTTATAGGCGTTAATCATGTATATTTCCCGATATCAGAGATAATCCTGGACATCAACGTACGGGTCTAAGTGGTAATAAAAAATTTAAGGACAGTTAGTTGTTAACAGTCTACACTAAGGGGCTGTTTGGATCGGGTATTTTGAAAGGGAAAGGATAGGGAAAGCTGCCAATTTGTCAGGTTTTTGGCAGCTCACAGCTCAGCTTTTTGGTAGCTTTCCCCTTCAAAAAGCTGCCAAAAAGCTGACAAATTGGCAGCTTTCCCTCTCCTTTACCCTTTAAAATACCTGATCCAAACGGGCCCTAACAAATTTTAGGTATACAGTTACATGCATTTGTATACCAAATAGATACTTAATCATGGAAACTATTACGACATTTTAATGCCGGTTCAAAATGCCGGTGTTAGAGTATCCATGTACCGTGATGTTTAGAACAGAACACTGGATAATATATACGTGACTACATTGCATAGGGTATTCCTCTCATCAGTTTCTTCTATATGAACCGCTTCTCTGAGCTGCTTCTTCACAAGCCTGGAGAAGGAATCTTGCTTCGTCTGTCAGCCACCTTTTGTCACCTTTGGTAAATTCTTCCATCGAACTTGTTATGCTGGATTTAAATATCAAAAGATGAAAGTTTGTATTATTGGCTAATTTTTCTTTTCTAAAAGAGCAAGATCAATTTTCCTGATCACTCTCTTAGTTGTTTGCATCAAATTTGTTACCTCAGTTTCGAAAATATAGTCACAGATTGGAAATAATACTGCATTACTATGAGTTTATATATGTTGGTTGAACTTGATTTGCTTGGGATTTAATAATCTCTATTTATTTTCCTATTGACTTGCTCCCTTGGATGATTGAAGACATAGGTGATATCTAAATTTGCTGAGAGCTACTGCAAGTGTGCACTCCCCTTAAAGATGTACGGGATGGTACCAGAACATAGCTTCTTCCAGGCTATATCTTCTGGTTTGGTTGCATTGCATCTGGAAAAATTCTATGACAAAGTGGAGGAAGGAAGCATTGTCCTCCGCAAATCGCAGAAACTTCAGCTTTTGTAAGAATGGTGTGATGATATGATGGACAAGCTTCACCTATAGAGACGGATATACCAATTCTTGCGACAGGGTACAAGAGCGATCAGAAGATTACGGACGTCTTTTCTTCAGCATTGTTTAAGAAGAATGTTGCAGGTTCATTAACGGCGACTTCTCCTCTCTACAGGTCTGATATACAAGCTTTCTTTTTTTAAATTAATTACACAGTTTCTTCTCAGAATTTGAATATAATACACCTATTTAGAGGTTAGTTAGATATTCCCCTAAACATTTTCGTTAGCGCTTAAGACTACTGGCTATCTACATGGGGCTGTGTCTTTTATTGGTATCACTGTTACTAGGATATATGTATGTACTGGGTGTCGACTCCCTTGCTGTGTGGAGAAGATCAGTGAAAATGTGCATACCCGGCACTGGCGGTAGAGTTCAGGTGCATGGCTTTGTTTTTGCGGTGATTCTTTGTGGTGGGTATCAGTTTCGCTGGCAACTTTGTTTTTGCATGTTAAAGAAATACTGACGTTATCTTTTTTGTAATTTTTAGGGAATGCATATATCCACTCTAGGATTCCACAACTCGCCATCATCGGCTACTCTGAAAGCGTCTCTAATCTACACACATCGGAACTGAGGTCAAAATGCATGGCTGGCTCAGTTTCTCGATGGAGATTGTCTTTTGCCAAGAATAATGAGAATGGAAGAAAATGTGAAGGAATGGGAGAAGTACATGAAGAGATGCTCTGGTGAATTCCTTAGAAAGCCGCGTACCATAACTTTGAACACCTGGAACAATGACCAGCTGTGTAGGGGTATGGGTTGCAGCCCCAGAAGGAAGAATGGGGTTTTTGGCTGATGGGTTCCTTTCTTATGCACTTGAAGATTATGCAGGTCTTTGAGGAGCCAATTTTGCTTCGTTTCTTGATACAATTTAAAGTAAGGGTATTTGCAAGTATTCATATACTAATTAAGTGGGTTTATCCACTTAAAATCTCTAAGCAATTCCATTAGCATTTACACCGTCTGAACTCCAGAGGATGGAATTGTTGATTTTATATTTTGTCATATAATAAAACTGAATGGGAGACTTTTTATTTCAATGGTTATCAAATAAAATATTTTTTGAAGTGCACAATAATAGGTTTTATTTATTGATTATTTAAGAGATAATGGGTAAGATATGAAAATTGTGACTTTGTGAGAGGTCAAATCTTTATTATCATTGCTCCTTAAGTATTATCACGACTTCTCTTTTCCTTTTTTTCCCCTTCTTTTTTTTCCTGGTTGGCTGTTCTTTTTTTTCTTTTTATTTTTTTTATTTTTTTTATTTTTTTTTTTTTTTGTAAAGAAAAGAAAGAAATT